CTGTAAGCCTTCTACTTACCAAAAGAAACCTTAGATATCTGACTGGCAAAGTATCAATCTTCTATTGATCCCTGTGTGATTCATTCTTCCCACAATTCAGTTGTAGACTACAAATTCCTAACAAAAAATCCAAGGTACCCTTTGCAAAAATCAGTAAACCATCAGCAAAGCATAAATGAGTCAAGCTTATTTTCTTGCATTTTGGGTGGAAAGCAAATACCCCATATTTGGCATCTACATCAAGTAATCTTGATAGTACATAGTTCGCCAAATTAAACAAATAAGAGGACATTGGATGTCCCTGCCTTATTCCTCTAGCTCATTTGAAATAGCCCACCAATCATCCATTAAGGGACATAGAAAATAAAGAGGTTGTAATATAGCTCATTATCCATCCTATGAATTAATTTGGCACTATATTGCTTTAAAAACAGCATGAATAAAATTTCAGTCCACTGAACCAAAAGCTTTTTGGAGGTCAATCTTGATTGCACACCTAGAGATAATGTGGATCTACCATAACCTTAAACCATCTTGTGAGCCTAAAGGGCATTATCTGTGATACTTCTCCCCTCTATAAATGCACTTTGACTGCAACTAATAATCCCAACAGAAATTTCTTAAACCTGTTAGCTAGTATCCTGGTGATGCATTTATAGACTATGGTGCAATACGAGATAGGTGTAGTCCCTGATGCTACTAGGATTTTTGCACTTAGGCACCAGTGCAACAATTGTTGAATTTAAAGCAGGTAACATATTTCCTGCTTGAAGGAAATGCACGCATAATAGCATTAGAAACATCATTTCCAACAATATTCCAGGTTTGCTTGAAAAGTGTGTTGTAAAGCCATCATGGCTTGGAGATTTCTCACTATTGAGTGAAAAAATGGTTCCCTGAATCTTTTCTTTGGAAAATGGTCTTGTAGGTATGTCCTGTTCTTCTTTGGATAAGGCTCTCTGCAGTAGCTCAGTCAGAAATTCATATGTGCAACCTGTGACATTGTTATCAACTTCTCCAATTAACTTTTAATAGTATAAGATAGCTTCCTGCGATATCTGGGAGAACGAATCCAATATGTTCCCTTTTGCATTGATTATTACTCTTATTGTGCTCTTATTTTGATTAGCTGCTACCTTCTCGTGAAAGAACTTTGCGTTTTGGTCCCTTTCCTACAACCTTCTTATTCTAGATTTTTCAGCTCTTTCGACCTTCATCAATGCTTTGAGTTTTTCATATTGGCCTCTGTCAATCTTTATCAATTATTCTGTGTGGGAATGAGATAGGATGACTTTCTGAATTGATTCCAGTTCCACTCTTTTAGCTTGCACTCTTCCAGGCAGTTCACCATATAGCATGAAAAATTAAACTTCTTAAGCTCCAGTTTTAACCTCTTTAATTTTTGTATGCATCATTGATATAAGGTTGCCTTTAACAGGGATTTTCCAGGAGTTCTTCACAATTAACTTGAACTCTGGGTGCCCAGTCCAATAGTTAAAAAACATAAATGGTTTAGGAGGAGAATGAGTGACTATATGAAGCTTGATGAGTGCTGCACAGTGGTCGAAACCTCAGGAGCTAAGTACTCTACATATGACTATGGATAAGTTGAAAGCCATAAGTCATTTATCAGAACTTTGTCCAATTTCCTTGCTAAATAACTTTCAGGCTGATGGTTGAACCAAGTAAATTGAGGTCCTACATAAGCATGATCGAACAAGGCTACTTGAGTCAAGTACTTCTGAAATTCTCTCATATCAAAATTTAAAGTTTGAGTGCCATTGTAATTGAGCATTTCGGTAGGGTGAACTATGACATTGAAATCTCCAGCTAATATCCAAGGGTTGTACACTACAGCACAATTGAGATGAGACAAATGTGACCACAGCCTTCCTCTTTGGATCGAATCATTGCTTCTATATATGGTTAAGAAATATAATTTCCTGGATTCATGCATAAGACAACATGTGATACTGCGATAAAAAAAAGCTCCAGCAAACAGGGTATCCCAAAAATTTTAAAAACCCTTTGTAACATGAGGCAAAGGTGGATGATTATACAAGCCAAAAGTGGTCTTTAACCTCTCCCCCCCAAAAAAAAAAAATCAAGTTTGTTAAGGGAATCAAATAATCTAGAAGCTCTGTTCTCGACGTAAATGTATTATGTCCAGTTGATTCAGTTAAACTAGCTAATAAGACTGAAATTCAAATGGCATATTTGCGTAAGACCAATAAAAAGGTATTATAAAGAAGTTTTTTGGGTAAATAAAATCCATTGATCTGTTGAGAGTCACATAAAAAATTTTGTTACCTTAGCTTTACTTCAATGTTTATGATTACGGATGTGTATTTATCTTATGCATTATAGTTTAAGAGAGATTAAAATCATATTATTATTTGTTTATTTGTTATACCAATCAATTATTACTTACAAACCCTTAAAATCAAGAGATTTTTTTATAAGAATTAAGAAGCATATATCACTTACAATCATAATCATGTCCATTTAACAAAAGGCAAATTGACTTTCTAGTTTCTTTATAAGACTTCAAATCCACAATCAAGTATTAAACACATTTTTTTTAATTAACCGCAACTTCTCTCTATATAATCTTCATTTTGAATTTTATTTTAGATTTTTTCTCCTATTATAATGCAATTTTTTTTCTAACATAAAAATTAGATTTGAATAACTTTTTAAAAGGTTAAAAAATTATTAACATCTAATCTCAAAGTATTAATTTTATTCATTTAATGTCATATTTTATTTTTCTTATTTTGATAAAAAAATATATTATTTAGCAACTGATTTATTCGTGTTTTTTAAATCATTCACAATTTTAAGTAAAATAATTTATTTGATGTATTATGTTTTTTTGTACATTTATTTATAAATTGATAAAATTTATAATTTTGTAAGTTATTTTTAGTATATTTCTTGTATATATATTTATATTGATAATATATATAGTAGTTTACATATGAAGAAAATAAATTAAAATTCAGAATAATATTAATTGATCCCTCAAAATTAAATATCAAAATTCGTCACTGTCAGCAAATAAGCTTAGACGTGATGTCTCCAACATCTAGATCCTTCAAACTCCAAAATTTTACTTTCAATTTTTCTTACAGAAATTATATATTATAGATTTCAAAACAATTTATAGAGCTGTCAATAAAGTCACTTGATCTATTAATGAACTTTTAATTACAGTAATTAAAATTCAAATATTAACCGTCTTAAATAAATAAATAAATAAAAAGAAAAGAAAAGAAAAACAGACTATAATGCTAAAAAAACTAAAACTGCATGTTTAACTAAGCTGAAGAGCTGAAGTTTAGGTAGGCTGGGCCATGGATATGGATAAATCAGACCATCTCAATGAGAAAAAACCCGAAGAAGAGCTGAAAAGAATATTCAAAGATTTTAAGAATAAAAAAATAGGAGTCATGAAACAGAAAATCACTGGTTTTATAAAACTGACAGGGATGGGGATGCGATGCATGCGATCTCTTTCAAGAAGTTTCACGTATGAGCCTGTAAGTCAACTCTAAAATGTGGAAAAATAAGATTGGAGAAAGACAAAGGCTAACTCCTCTCCTCTCAATCCGGCGATGGATAAGCAATTAAACAACTATATTCACAGCAATTTTGCTCTGTATATCATGCAGTGCATAAAACTGGATTAATTGGCTGGGTTGCATTTACAATCTTCATTTTCAATCATGTCCTTACCAAAAACCTCTTTAAAAATAATAACAATAACCATCTTGCAACACCAAAAAATTTATTGATTTATTTATTTTTAATGAGGGGATGAGATTAATATTTCAGTTATTAATTTTTTATAATAAATCATAATTTGTAAGTACTAAAAAAATTGAAAAAAATTAAAAATTGATTCGAAATCGTAATGTTTAATTCAGTTTGGATTGATTGTTTTATTCGGTTGGGATTAAATTTATATATTAAATATATATATTAAATTAAGATCGAATTTCAGATTGAGAGATAAAAAATAAAAAAAATCAAATGAAATTATATATTTTTCTTAATTTTTTGTTATAAAATAAAAATAATAATTTTATATTAAAATCTATTTATATATATTAAAAATTTATATTAAAATGATATAAAAAAATTAATTTTTAAAAACTAAAAAATTAAATCAAATTGAACCAATAAAATTCAATTTAATTCGGCTTAAATTATATGAAGAATTAAATAAAATTCCGATAAAAAATTTTAAATTCATGGTATTATATAATATTTAAAAAAATAAATCAAATTTAAACTCATTTAAATCATTACCATTCTTAATAATTTATATATAAATAAAAAATTATAAATATTTAAATTTGAATCTCAAACTTATTATATATACACCTATCAGGTTATTAATCAAAAGAGTAGGAAGTATACTTACCTAGATTTACTCTATGTGCCTCATCTAGATGTAAAAACGTTCTATTTTTTTTTTTAATTGCAAAAAGAGGATTTTAAACTTATTCTTTGACTATTGATGAGAGGAATCGTACACCAACACTAAATTTGGGTGTACATAAGAAGTTTTAACTTGAACTGAATGGTTGCCCAAATTATACTTTTAAATGGGCAATTTGAAGTTTAAATGATCAAGACGTGAGAAAAAAAAATGCCATGGTCACGAAAAGCTTATAATTGTACCAATAGAGATGAGCATTGTAAATTAGAAAGAAAAAGTCCGTACGCTACAAAACTTTGTGGATCTTACCTAATCACTTTATAAATTGGTCTTATTAGTGTAAAACAAAACAAATTTACCAAATTATTTCACTATTTGACTTGACATCATTTTTTTTTTGCCAGGATGACAATAGGTGAGTACCAAATTATGGATAGGTGGCCTACTTCAAGGGAGCCAAAAAAAATTGAAATCCCTTTTTTTGGGGACCCTCAATCTAGCTCCTTAACATAAAATAAAAAGTTGTTAACTTGTGGAAGCAGTTGAGCTAAAATTTCCAAGGCAACCACCACCAAACCTCCAACCCAATACAGCCTTCTCTTTTTGCTATCCCATGTTTAGAAATTAAAGAGCTGTAGATCAGCCAGGCCATGGCTGCTACTGAAGAATTCAGCTTCCCTACCACCACTGACTTGTACCCTTTTGGTATTGATTCACCGCCGTTGTGGCGTCTGTCTCCTGCAGCATCTCCTGATGTTTTTCTTGACAGAAAAGCTACAACAGAGAAAGAAGCAGAAGATGAAAAAGATACCTTCGCAGATAGACCAGATGAGCATCAGGAAAGAAAGAGCTTTCCATATGTAGAGGAAGGTTCAAAGCTGTCCAAGAAAGTGGTTGCCGAAGATGAAGAGGAAAAGATGGACCTGTTGTGGGAAGATTTCAATGAAGAGTTGTCAAGAAGTCGCAGTTCAAGGTCTTCAGGAGACATGGTAGTATTGGGATGTTCCCAGTCCTTGAAATTGTCCAAAAACAATACTGCCAGGTTTTCTCCAAGAAGACCAGGCATGTTGGTTTTCATGAGGCTATTCATGAGAAAGCTTTTCTTGCTACATAATTCTCAACGGTCAGTTAAACATCGCACATGGCAAACCCCATAGCTTAATCCTACAAATTAATTCCATGTTTGATTGTTTTGTTGCTGACGAATTAAGGGCTCCGATCCGGGTTCATTTCTAAATGAATTGTAGCAAAAATGATGGAAAGTATGCATATAGTTTTAGCTTTGGGATCGAATCTGCTGGTTTTGGAGTTCCAAGCTCCTCAAAATACTCTGTATGGGAGAAAGCAATATAATGGGTATAGAAAGAACAAATTGCTGTCAAATATGAAGATTCTAACTCCACTCCAATGTTGGAACTTGGAAATGTATGATGAACAATGCCTATATTTTGAAATACAGAAAAAATGTAATACATATTTATGAATTATGTATATTAACATTCAATCTTTGTGTTATGAATACTGCCATGTAAATTAGTGTTAAAGATGAATATTGAGTTTTAATTAAATTGATTTATATAATCATTCTTAAAAAGTGATAACAGATCTGAGATTTAAATATTAAAATCAATATCTCTATCCGGCCTCTTTGTACCAAACAAAATTAATGTTAAAATAATTTTTCATATGTGCCGGCTAGTTAAGTAAGAGCTGATGAGAAAGGCTGATCGATCAAAGTCAACATTAAAAGCAATCATAAGATGATGAAATCCGCGCTAATAGACTATTATGTAGTTGGAGAATGTGGGCTCCTTTTTTCCTCTCTAATTATTTTTTTATTGGGTATTATTATTAAAGCATTATAATAACTGAATGTGATTCAAACCACATTGAGAAAACGAGTTTCCATTCCTCTAAAACTAAGACCTATTGTTGGTGTATTATTATTATTATTATTATTATTATTATTATTATTTGTTCTTTGATCTTGTCATTAAGCTGCCTAATCAACCTTAATTCTAAGTTAATTATTACTTATGAAAGGCTGTGCCTTAATAAAGTAAAAAGGTTACGATCACCTCTGTTTAGCTGAAATAGCTAGTAAGAGGTTTAAAGGTTTAGGTAGATTTTTCGAAAGTTCATTTGAGAATTCGATTGAAGAACTATATCGAAAAGTGCATTTCATAATTCAACTTTTTTAAGGGTTCAGTCATAAAATATATCTTTTGTTGTAGTGGAAGCCCTTTAATCGAACTTTCAAATAGGCTTAAGTTGAGCTATACTACTCCCCTAAAATTGTAGACAAAGTTACTTAAAAAGAAATTGGACAATTATCCTAGAAAAGGATGTAACTCCAAGAACAAGCTTAAATTCATGAACACATCACATGAATAGTTATCAATTTCAAATATAGGGATATTATGAGACTATTGTTACGAGAGTTATGAGGATAGGCAGGGAAAGATTTTGAGAGTGACACAAAAGGGGTTGAGGCAAAGGAAAGTATAGGTGTGATTTGTGAACTAATTTTCCAAATGGAAACCTCCAGCTCTTTTTGCTTGGACTGCAAGACTAGAGAAATGGACAGTCATATAATTACAAACAAACAAATAGTGTACCATGTGGTCCGACTCCAACGATTCTAGATTGCATATATAGTGACAGGGATTTGCTTTCTTGACTTGGAAATTTTCATCAATAGAGAAGGTTTGGTGCTTTAAATGTTAAAAATTGGAAAGCTTAAGCAAACCAGAAATTAAAATAGATTAAGACTGTGACCAAAAGATAAAATGAACCATCGATTTGTTGGTAATTTACAAAGAGGTAGTCGATTGTCTTATAGGAGTAATCGATTGCTTTAGTTGAAAATTTGTAATTTTCTTAAACGTAAAAATTAATTTCAATTGAAATGAAAAGAATAATCATTCAAATAAACTAATATATCTTTAATAATTAAAAAAGATATCTTTCTAATTAAAAGAAGTGATTTTTGATTGAAATATTACAATTAAAGAGTTACAACCTTAGGCTTTAATCTTTATAAATAGAGATTGTTAGTGTTCATTTGAGTAGTTCAAAAATATGTTCAAGATTAAACAATACAAAAACTCTCTTTCTTTTCACCCATTTTTCACAAATAAAGTAAAATTACTTTGATATTATTTTTGCGGAAATAAATGTTTAAAGCTTGATGTTTTCATTTTCATCAAAGGGTGTTTAGTAGTTTGATATAAAAAATGCAAGGTGAAATCAAATAAGACTTCATTGTATTTTGGAGGCATTTCGATTTTATGACTTTTGCATACTATATGTAGTAGGGACAAAACAAGACTTAAGAAAGTGTTATTTGCAGCACAGCTTGAAGCCATTTTTTTGTTCTTTAAAGGTTTCATCTTAGGATCAACCAAGGCTTTTTTTCATCCATTTTCACAAATAAAGTAAAATTACTTTGATATTATTTCCGCACAAATTAATGTTTAAAGCTTAATGTTTTCATTTTCATCAAAGGGTGTTTAGTGGTTTGATGTCACAAATGCAAGGTAAAGTCAAAAAAGACTTCATTGTATTTTGGAGTTATTTCGATTATATGACTTTTGCATACTATATGTAGTAGGGACGAAACAAGACTTAAGGAAAGTGTTATTTGCAGCACAGCTTGAAACCATTTTTTTGTTATTTAAAAGTTTCATCTTAGGATCAACCAAGGCTTAAAGGAACAATACAATCGAAAATACAAATGGATGATCATCATCATGATAAAAAGTTCTTGATAAAGCTTATACAAGTCTTTGACTTTTTCTAATAATTGATTGCCCAAAGCAATTTGGGAAGAGTAGTTGATTTCCCCTCAATGGTAATTGACTGCTTTTCTAAATAGAATGTCCTAGATTATGAGCAAGTGCTAGGGCAGTTACTAGGGCAGTCAATTGCTCTTGCGTAATAAATGATATGATAGTCAATTACTCATTTCTTACTTCATTCCAATAATTTTTCATACTTCCAAAACATCATTTTTTTTTCTATACACATGCATATTAAATGGTTGTAAAACAATGTTTTCACTTTAATAATCTTTAGAAATCATTTCTTTAATAATAAATACAACACTATAGTATGTCAAGGAAATATCCACATGTTGTTAATAATTGCATGAGCAATTGGTAAAATATTGGACTCATAGTTTTAAGGGTCAGAATTCAAATTTTAACAACCTTAAACATAATATATATATATGTATATATATAAATATATATATATATATATATTCACATGTCATACCATATAAGCTACAATAACAGAAAAACCAAAATAGAACCATTTAACAAAGTTTGGAACTCAAATGAAACAATTCAAAGATTAAGACTTAAAGTAAAACCAAAGTAAAAGTTATGGAAACATTGAATATCCATTTATAGATAGACTAGCAACATATCTAAAAAGGAAAAAAAAAAGAGCTTTGTGAATTATTAAAGGAGGGAGCATTTGGTGCATAGATTTTTTGATTCCGTAAGGAAAAGTGATATTAAAGGAGAATGTGTGATTCCTGAATTTTATTAACTTAAAGAATGTAAGATTTTGTATTTGGTTTAGAGAAATGTAAATTTATCTAATAAAATATTTTATTATATTATCTTTAATGACACATGAAAATAATGTGATATTTATAACATTAATATGTTAATAATACGTGACACATAAATAACACGTTATCTTTGTTGAAACTAAAAAATTTTAAAAATAATGTTTTTTCATATTTTCAACAAAGATAATCTTAAAATCCTAATTTATATCATAATATTGATTCATTGTACCTACGTTTTAATATCAAATAAATTTATTTTAGATTTTCTATGTAATAATATTAATAAAGATATTTTATGTTTTATTTTAATTTTGTTACAAGCAACAATGAGGTTAAAACTATAAATAACAACAATCATATTTTTTTTTAATTTTAAGAAACTAGAAAGGATAATATAGTCTACAAATACAATAAATGAGGGCAAATAAGGTAAATTTTTACTTTTCCTTTTAAATATAAAAAAACCTTAAGAAGAAGAGAGTTTTGGATTCTTCATACTTTTTTTCTTTTTTGACACGGTTGAAAACCTCAAAAAAATCTCAGAAAACACATTTTATGAACCAAAATAAGGAATCATTTTTCACAAATAAATGTGATTTATTATAATGTATAGATTTGTAAACCTATAGCTAGATTTGACTTTAGGAGTTACTACCAATCTTTTTTGTTTAGGTGTGATTGACCACCTAATTGAATTTGTCCCTTTATAAAGAAAAATCTCAAGCTTAACTAAGTATCTTTACAAGATAGATTTTATATTTACGAAACTAAGACTAAATCCATGAGTATGATTATGTGTGAAGAAGATTATAACACCTTCACAACGTCTATTAAATGATGGTACAAATTTAATTTCATATTATCCAAGCCTTAAAATGTGTTTGTAATTTACCTAATAACTTTAATATTAAAAATTGTTCTTAAAATTACTCCAATCACTTGATAAAAATTTAAAAGAATTCTCTCACCTTAGGAGTATTCATGAAAACTCGTGTTCTACTTTGAAAATGCTCCATACATTGGATTCATTAACATGTTTTCTATGAAATCATTTTTTTTTAAATCAATCAATAAAATACTCCAATCATTTAGTAAGATTTCATATTATTACATATCCCCAATTGTTTGATGTGATTTTTTTGTTGAAAATCTTTTTATAAAAAATTTTAAAAAATAAAGGTCATTAAATCCTCCAATAGTTTGGTAAGATTTAACAGAAATCTAAATCCTCCAATTGTTTGGTAGGATTAAAAATTTATTTTATTTTTTCTTAAAATCCATTATGAAAACTCCAATCGTTTAGTAAAATTCATAATTAAAAAAAAAAGAATCCTCCTATTATTTAATAGGATTGAAAGTTTATTATAAAAATTTATTTTAAATAAACAAAAAAGAGAAACAACTAAGTAACATAAATAAATATACAAATAAAGAAGGAAAAAAATAGAAATTACCTTATCTTCTTTCTTGTTTCTTCGAAACCCTCAAAAATTTTATTGCTAAACTTTTTGTTGAATATCTCCCTTTTGTGTATCCTCTCAACTTCTTTTCTTTAACATAGAACTCTAAAAAAAAATCCAAATTATCTAAACTCAAAACACCATAAAATATTATGAAAAAACTCTTAATTTTTTTTTTTTTACTTTCTCTCCGCTTTTTTGCTGTGTATATCTGTACTCTTTTTTTTTGTTCTCCTTTGTGTTGAATTTGATGGGGTTTTTATAGGGTTTAAATTATGAGATCCCTTATCATAATGTCTAGATCTGTGGACCTATCACTTGACATTGACTTAAGGAGTCGCGATCAATCTTTTTTGTTTAGGTGCGATTGGCCACCGACTGAATTTATCTTTTTAAAAAAAAAATCTTAAGTTCGACTTAGGTATTTTTAAAAGATAGATTCAATGTCTACAAAATCAAACTAGGTTCGAGAGTACGATTACATGTGATGA